AGCTGTTCCAGAATTAACTCAGATTCCTGAGACTGGCAGTCACTATATGTCTGGTCCAACGCCACCAAATCAAGCTGTTCCAGAATTAACTCAGATTCCTGAGAATGGCAGTCATTATAGGTCTAGTCCTTTCACCATATTGGTGACACCTATCAATGATACACCTATATTTGACTCTTCTGATAAAAGCCCCTCAGAGAAGAAGAACTCTGTCATCATTTTGGCCATCGTTTTTTCCATCCTGCTGCTTGTAGGCCTCCTAGTTTTCTTGTACTTCAGGCGCCGCCGTCACTCTGGCTCTACCAGCTTCAATTCCCCAGAATGGGCTGGACAAGCGACGTTGCCAGATGATACGGGCTTGGATAAGGACGTGGAGCAACAGGTGGGGTCTGTAGGGGAAGGGGAAACCCGGCGTGGGACTCTTGTGACTTTCTTTGGGAAGCGTCAGTCTAGGGTACCCTCGATAGCTATGGAAGAAGTCAGTGGGAAAGGAGGCAAGGAGGAAACAGAGAAGTTGCTTTGTGAAGAGGCTGAGAATGGGTCCCCTTCGGAGGCAATTGGAGATGCCAATGGCAAAGTACCAGAGCCCCTTAAGGAGTCTTCTCAGGAGTCCCCAGCCTCCAATAAGGACTAAATAGGACTTTCTTTGTTTTTCCTTGAAGACATTTCACTTCGCATCTAAGAAGGTTCTTCAGTTCAGCTTAGATAAGAAGCGAAATGAAAGGAAAAACAAAGTCCGGTTGCCTTTTGAAAAAGCACATCTGGGGTACCCATGACTCAAATGACTGAGAATCTCCATACGCATTTCTCTAAAATCAGAATTCCTCCTAGATCAGAAATTCTGGCTTTGCAGGTTGGTGGGGGGAGGGGTGGGTGGGAGAGGGGATGGCTGAAAGCACAAATGCACAAATGGAGTGCACACTCGCTCCACTGCTCCCTCATATGGGGATGTGTGTATGTGCACACACTCACCCACCACTCCCACTGCCCGGTTCCGAATGGCTCAAGGCCCAGTAGTGGGCTGCGGCCCAGGAGTTGGGGACCCCTGTCCTAAATCGTGATCAGAAGATAGATTCACCTCTTAAGCTTCTTCTGGAGCAGACCATTTTTATGATTTACATCAGGGGTGTCAAACTCAAGGCCCGGGGTGCTTAAACCTGCCCCGCAGGGTGTTTAGATCTGGCTCGCGGGGCCACCCTGGAAACAGTGAGGGACCGGCCCATGGTGCCTCTGCCAGCCAAAATGGGCACCCGAGCTCCATTTCCAGCTGTGACTTGATTTCATTGAGGGCCTCATCAGGGTTGTCAGTGATGGGATTCAACCAGTTCATACCACTTTGGGAGAACCAGTTGTTAACTTTCTGAGCAGTTTGGTGAATTGGCTGTTGGAAGAAATCATTAGGGCAGAGAACCAGTTGTTAAATTATTTGAATCCCATCGCTGAGAGTTGTGCTTGATCTCAGGGGGCAGGGGTGGGTGTGGCCTACTCAACGTCACTCATGTGGGGACGCCTGTGGCAGCCCAAGCGCTCTGGCAGCGAAAATGGGCTCCCGAACTCCCTTTCCAGCTGCAAGAGCCTCTTGCAACCCACTGCCAGCGAAAACGTAGCTCGGTAGGGCCGCTCACTTTCACTCCATTTTTGCTGGCAGAGGGTTGCAGGAAGCTGTCGCAGCTGGAAAGGGAGCTTGGGAGCCTGTTTTCACGGCAGAGCATTTGGGCCGCCACAGGTGTCCCCAACATGAGTGACATTGAGCAGGCCACACCCACCCCGCTCCCCCTGAGGTCAAACACAATCCTGATGTGGCCCTCAATGAAATCGAGTTTGACACCCCTGATTTACATAGGCATCGTTAGGTGTATCTTATTATCCTGCAGGATAGAGGTATCCTATATCCTCTATAATCTGAGCATTAGGTTAAGATGTCCCTTGTTCATATGTGAGGGATGAGTGGAAAGACGGAGGAGTGAAAGAGAGATATATCTCCCTCAACTTCTCTTTTGAAAGTCCTCAGCGTCTCCATTTCTCCTGCTTTATTATAAGTGATAGATAGATATAGCAGACCCCAAAACAGAGAGAAATTTAAACATTGGCCCAGCCCAGTTTCACCAAGTACTTTTTTTTTAAATTTTCCTCTTCTTTTAAAAAGGTCAGTGGGAGGTTGGATAGTTAACAAATTTCCATGTGATGGCAGTGCTGGGTTGTGTTTGAAGAATAATGAGCATTGATCCGGCATTGATCGGGCTTTGGGTCTGTATTGTAGGGGAAGGTCTTGATCGCCATTGCCAGAAAGAAAGTATATTAACAAAAGTTCTGCTTGCTATTTTTTTTTTTTAATGATGCTGCAAATCGCTTGGCTGATTCATGTTCAGAAGTGAATGGCTTTTATGCATACATATAGAAATATCCTAACTAGATTGTTTTATTAGCTCAAGATTTTATTAAATCAGATTTTTCATTGTATCTGCTCTCTGGGAATGTCTACAAAGGTAAGGCTTTATATGGGCATCCCCAAAGAGCTGATATAGCTGGCAGTAAGATACATGTAGGTTTAAATGCTTTTATTTAATTCAGAAACCTTTCCAATTATTCTGCGGTGCTTTGTCCTTCAGAAGTTCTAAGTTTAAAACAGCCAGAGGAGAGAGTATTTCTTCCTTTCTAAAAAGTCTTTGGATGAACATAAAGGCAAAATGGAAATATCTAGTAGACACAATGTACAAAATGTATAAATACAAGTGTTTAAATTTTGAATTATATGAACATATATTAAATAGGAAATATTATGCTTTGCCTGTCCTTGCTCATATACCGAAGGTTTGTTTCTGTAGGTTCCAGTGGATTTCAGAGAATTTAACAGGTTAAACTAGTTCATCTTATTACATAACTTTTGCTTAATTTTTTTCTAGGATAATAACATTTGATCCTGAATAATTTTACTCTTGATGCTGAATAATTTCAGAAGAACTACTTAACAAAGAGCTAATTAATAAATCAAAGTCCTTGATTTATGACTATTCAATTAGGAACAGTTCAAAGTTATGATGGCCTTGGAAGAAGTGATTTAGATCATATTTGCACCTATGACCATTGTACCCACCCCCCACAGTCATGTGGTCACAATTTGGGCATTTGCCAAACTTGCGTTTATAACCCGGTTGAAGCATCCTGTGGTCACATGAGTGCAATCTGCTAGTTTGTTTCCAGCAAAAAGGCACCCATTTAGTGACTGTGTTTCACTTAATGACCATCATAAAAATTATTGCAAAGTTGGGTCTGACTCAATTTACAACCGCAGCATCTAAATGGGATGGAGATTTCCATTCTAGCTGTGCTCATACCTGTAGATAAACAATGGCAGAAATTGCAATGCAATCAGCTATGACTGATCTCTTGGGAATAAACCCCATTAAATTGAATGAGACTTATTCTGCATGATAGTGTCTGGAATTGCTGTCTGAAAAAGGCAATCTTTTTTCTCATTAGCCAGTCTTCAACTAATATATTATACAGCAGTGTTTCTCAAACTTAGGAAGTTTTTTGTGGACTTCCACTCCCAGAATTCTCCAGTCAGCCATGCTGACTGGGAATTCTGGGAGTTGATCCCTACTTCTTAAACTCACTGAGATTGAGAAATATTTCCTCAACTGCTCATAGACTTAATGAAGATATCTGGCAAAATTGCAAGAAAATGCTTCTTTTCCACACACTTCATTTGTCTATTCTCCTGTGAGGCAAAAATTAGAAGGCCAAGCATGTGTTTTCTGAAAATTCCTATTTGTTTCCAAAAACAAGGGAAACTTTGCACAGAGGTAATTTGTGATGTGATGTGATGGGCTGGCGGGAACCAAGATTGGGGAACCTTCCAGACTAACAAATAACCCAGGTCTTGTGGAACTAAGTTAAGACTTCCTCAAGTCAAGGTAGACTCTAAGTGACTTCATGGATGTGTTCCTATAATTTTCTTGGCAAAAACACAGTCCTGATTTGGCACTAACTTCTTCCCTGGTTAGCCCTGATACTGCCTATAAGTTTCTCATTTCGGCACAAAGCAGCTCAGCCCTGCTTAGTGAGACGAGATTGACCAGGAATATTATCACCTTCTAAAACTCTGTGGAACTAAATTTTTCTGATAGAGCTTCATTGTTCAAATTATGCATGGTAATCATGTCACATGCATTAAAAACAAACAAATAATGAATGTTTGCTGTCTCCTTTTTAAAATAAAATGTGAGGCAGCCTTTGCCACCACAGTTAAGAAGACACGAAGACAGCATAATATTTGTGAAATTTGGTTTAATTTCTGAGTTGTTTGTGCCCGTACTTATTTGCTTGTTGAATTGATATTCTCAGCTTTTATTAAAAAAAAAAAAAAGCCATCTGTCTCAATTCAAACAGCTCTTTAAAGTCAATCCAGTGAACTAACTTTTTTTTGTTAGTTTGGTAGTCTTTCTGCAGACATTTCATTACTAAACTAGGTAACATCATCAGTATTAGAGCACCAATTAACCCCCAGCTACAAAGTTTCTCTTCTATTGGTACAACTTTATGTGCAAGAGTCCCCCATTACATTAAGCTATGGCTTGCTTAATTTTACTTATTGAATAAACCAGTCATCCTAGTTCATGCTAAAGTTGGTTTGCAAGCCATATTTGCTGCATCTGGAGAATACGCTAAGCCATAATCCAGTACTGTAGCTTGGTATAATCAATGAAGTCACTTGATCTCCTTCAAATAATTGGGGCCTTTTGGTAGCGGTTGTTGGAAAATACAGTTAGACATTTCTAATAAACAGCAGGCCAACTACACAATGGCTGAAGATAAATATTTAAGCAAATGAATCAACTAATAAAGACAAATAATAAACTGTGGTAAGGAAATTATTACATCATTTAATGTTTTCCAGCACTTAAAGGTTGGTGAGAGGATTTGTAGATCCTTTCCAATTCTATAATTCTGTTTTTCCATTATTAGAAATTGAGAACCTGTGATCCTCCAGAGGTTGATGAATTATACTCGAGATGGCCAGACAATTATCAGTAATACTCAGCTTCCTCACCTGTCTGTGTACCTGATCAAAATTTTAAATCAATGTCTTCTCTAAAGGAGAACTTTCTGAGGAACATCTAGCGTGCTTCTGAAGATACTGTTTGATGATGACTGGTTCTAAGATTCCTTAGAGGGGAATGTATGACAGCAGGGGATGTCCAAAAAAATCAAGATGGCGACTACCACTACCGAGCCATTTTATGTGCATATGTACGAAGAGTGGGACTTCAATCACAGTCTTTTTTTATATACATTCCCCCACTAATAGTGTGCCTGACAATTGTTTTAGTTTGTTTGTTTCATTGATTTCCATTCAGTTTTATTAGATCTAGGCCTTAGTGAATTTGAATTTCTCTTGTGTAAAATGCACTGAAATGAAGAGGAGCTAAATAAGAACTTATGTGCCAGTTTCTGACTTACTTTTCTCTTCCATTCAGCTTCTGCAGAATTCTAAATTCTTTATAATTTCTGAGCATTTTCTGTAATCATTAGTTCAATATTTTTTATTCATTCATTTCAGAAGTGTATTTTATAAGAGTCTGTGGAGTTTCATTCAAGTATACTCAATAAAAAGTTTTAAGTTCCATTTAAATGTTTTCAGCATGGTTCTTGATGAAGTT